TTGTCACTCCCCAATGACCATGCACTATCATCTGAACTTGTCTCCCAGTCAATAACTGACACATCATCACTACTTTTTTCACTTCCTAAATTACCCTCATCCCCATGCACAGAAACATCACTACCACTATTGTCACCCTCATCTTTGGAAACATCCCCTCTGAGCAATAGTGGACCCTCAACAATCTCAGGTATATTGATGTCATGGTCTACATACAACTCCACATTGCCAGCATATGAAATTATATCATTCATCTCCCTAATTGCATTGTCTGAATTATAAGAAACTAATCCATTTGGCATATCCATCCAAGGTTGCATATAGTAAATGTCTTTAATTGAAACTCGATCATAACCTTGTCTAACAACATAGTCAATAATCATAAATGAATTCAACCTATCCGTATCACATGGAACATCCTCTCGTACACCCCCTACATATCTAAATGGTGGTCCCTGTACAAAACGTCCACCATAATTGAACCATATAATACCTCCACTTGGGTCCCCCATTACTGTACAACAAATAAATTAATATCATTAAGGCATTACTTCATTAATTAAACTAACATAATAAGACAAGACAAAGCACACTGATGGTGGGACACAATCGGTGGGACACAAAAGAACAACATTCTTCAAGAAAATACAAAAATCCATAAAGAATGATAGAAAAATGAAACTTATTGACAGTATAAAGGCACTTACCAAACTTTTCTGTCCTTCTGTCCTTTTCGTGCCCTTAATCGTGCCCTTTTTCCCCGACAATGGTCCCCTCTGTTCAAAGACTTTTACGAACTAATCTGAAACAAGAAGTTCTGATTTTCCTTCGCTTTTCAGACTCTTCACTGACATTCGATCGCACCAAATCGATGGGTTTCTGGATTGGGTTTTTTTCTTAAGACTGAGAAGAGAAGGTGGGTTTTGCATATCTGTTTTAAGATCTTTGGGTTTTTAGGTTTTTAGGTTTTTTTTTTTTTTTGGGTGAGACGGGGGGATAGGCTGGAAAAGTCCCGCGCAGTGGGCCCCACTGCACACGTGGACGACACATCATCAAAAAGGAGATCCACGTATGAACCTAACGAATAAGAAAACGCCGCATGTGCCACGTCAAATTCTGGGTGCCACGTAGTGCATTTTTTAACGGTGCCGTGACGGCCCGTTAAAATATTGAGTTTTTTACGGGTTTTGAAAAGTGGAGGGTGTGAATAGGGAGAAAAAATTCTGGAAGGTGTTGACCGTGAAAAAAAAATAAGTGGAGGGTGCAAATAGGGGCTTTGGCCTATATGTTATATATATAAGACCAGTGAATTGAATAAATCATACATTTTGATAAATTCAAAATTAGCGAATCTGTGTCAGTAGGAATTTGCTGGCAAAACCAAATGGGGCCCCAGGTCTGATGGTCCCCTTTTAATTTCAAGTTCTGAACACTGATGGGTATTAGGTAGAGATGAATAATATTGATCAGACAAGTAACTTCTAGGATTTACTGCTTGAATTTACTACTCAAATGACCTTTTTTATTTTTATTTTTTTAGAGGAAAACATTTAATCCTAATTCGAATTGTACTAGTGTAGTAGTGTCAGTGAAAACCCAGTTTCTTCTTAGCCATCCGTCTCTTTCTAGTCGCCTCCAATGCCTCCTCCCTCATCCTAGAAAGCTGTTGATACCATTACTGATATTGTGTCTCATCTCTTCCAGTTCCAACCTTAGCTCATCATCCAGATCTTTGTCCATCAGGGACAGAGATGAGTAGCTGCTGTGCAAGCTCGTTATTTGATATGCTATTCAAATTTGGAAATGAAATTTCTATATTCTTTGCAAATTCATTTAATAGCATGCATTGTTCATCACCGCTATCATATTAGTGTAATAGTGTTACTAGTAATTAATTTTGATGGATCCATCCAAATGGCAAGAATGAGGGATAATGTATCAATGTCTTTGGATAGAGAACAATCGAATGGTTTAAGTACACTTTAATAAATTATTCAGGGAGAAAATATAGAGTACTAACTTCAAATTTTTGTGTTTTTTAACGTTTTACATTGCCTTTAATCTAGGGGACAAGTTATCGTTAATATGGACTCATGTAATATTGCAGAAAATGAACAAAGGCAACAGAAAACATCAAAGGCTGCTGTAGGGGCAAAGAAGTTTGAAAAACTTGTTTGCTGATGGAATTTTATGCTTTTGTATGGATGGATATGGCTTTGTGTTTCTAGCAATTGTCCCTTTTTAAGTATGACGTGGTGTTACTAAGATTGCATTATTTTTAACATTGATTTTTTTTTATTGTCATAAAATCTAATTTACTTTGTATCAGTTTTATTGATTTTGTTAGATTATGAATTCTTGTCCAAATAACACTCAAAGTTGAATTATTTTGAAAATTTTGACTTCATATTGTTTTTTTAAATTATATAAATAAAGTTTTTTTTGGATATTTTAATAAATTATTTTAATAAATTAATATATTTTGTAAGTTTATAGACTTTTTGTTTCATATAAATAAGTTTTAGTGGTTATTGAAAATTTTTAAATATTTTTCATGTTGACAAACCCTAATGACTTTGAAAATTTTAAAATTTTGAACTATGAGTATTTTTGTCTATATATATAAATTAAGAAGATTATCCTATGTAATCTTGCTAATTACCAAATTAAGTATAGGACAAATTTTATATCTAGTCTAATAAAATATCAAACATAAAATTAGGCTGTTTTTATCTTGTCCGAGTCAATCTAATTTAATCTCGTTCTAAGCACTCGAAACGTGCTGTATATGAAGGAAAAAAATAAACTTGCTCCAACATGTCACCTCAGTAAAACCTTAACAAATGGATTAAAAAGGACACAAAAAAAAAAAAAAACTTTTGGACCAAAAAAGTGCTTTTCAAGGCATGGGGATGAAAACGAGACTTTTAAAATATGGAGATCCAAAAGTTCTTTTTACTAAAATTTAGGGACTCAAATGGGTTTTAACCTTTTTAGTTCTAGTTGTGGCAGAACTCGGCCATTGTTTTTCTTCTATCAATATAAATGAACAACAACACCCTTGTTTTTCTGCAATTTCGAATCATGACGAAACGAAGCAGAGAAGAATGCGGCGACTCCACCGGCCAGAACATCCAAAGGAGAATCGAGCTTCCTGAAGATCTGTTCTGCCCAATCATGGAGCGGCTGCCGTTGATCGACGTTATTCGGGCAAAAGTGGTGTCTCATGCCTGTAACTCTTCCGCAGCCTCCGTCCTGTCATCCGACTCCCATACGCGCTTCATGAAATCCCCATGGCTCATCCTTCCTCCAAAACAGCTCGGAGAAGATGGCTACACCAGCATGGGCAGAGGTCGCATCATGAATCTCGAAGAAAACAGGGTTTACGATTTGAAGAAGACAACATCGGATCTGGTTTCTGAGTTTGGTTGCATTGGTTCCTCACACGGGTGGCTGATTTTGTCTGACCACAAAAGTTTAACTCCGTTCCTCTTCAACCCTTTCACGGAGGCCCGCATACAACTTCCTTCATTGAAACCTCTGTTTGGCATTGGTGGAATTGAGGAAGGCGAAGGCGATGATGCACGCACGTGTAAAATCCTGTGCGGGGATGATGAATGGGTGACGGTGTGGAAGCAAGAGGTACGGCAATCCTTTGTCTCAAAAGCCTTTTTGACAGCAGAACCTACTGGAGGAGATTTTGCGGTGGTTTTGCTATGCTACTACAACAATACAGAAGAGGTTCTGTATTATAAGAATGGAGGAGACAGATCGTGGATCCAATTCTGTGGATTGGGAGTTCCTAACTTTATAGAATGTTGTGACATTATGTGCTGTGGGAACAACCTCTATGTCCTAGGCCCTGGATGGATCTCTACTTGGGATTTAGGGGGTGATCGTCCGGAGAAAAGAAGAACTATTGAAGATTTTCTGCCAGAGGAATCATTCGAGAGACCAAATTTCTTCCGGTATAGAGATTATCTGGTTGAATCTAATGGGGAGATTCTGCTTGTTTTCAGGTTTGTGCCAGAAAATAACAGTGGCATAACAGCGGAAATATTTGATGTGTTTAAGTTGGATTTGGAAGAAAACAAGGGGGTACGAGTGGAAACTCTAGGGGATGATCGGTCCTTGTTTTTAGGCCAAAATCAATCTGTGTCAATATCAACAAAAGATTTCAGCAGATGCAAGGGGGACTCTATTTACTTCACTCATGATACCTTGGGTTTTCACCTTTATCGTGGTACTGATATGGGCATCTATAGCTTCAAGGATAGAAAAGTTTCACCGATTACTCAGTTTTCTTCAGAGAGATGCTTAAAGCCTGACCAAGTGCCCCGTTGGCTCATTCCAAGTTCTTGCTAATTCATGAAGTAGCAGTGTTAGTTTCTTTAATTTAATTGATGCTTTCTTTTTATGGGAGTTGAAACTGAGTATTGTTCTGTTCAGGTGTTCTATATATG